GTGCGCGCGGGGTTCTCAGATCCACCCCACGACCAACCCAAGGTCAAAAGGGGGACTCCCTGCGGGAGCCTCCTGAGAGCGAAGACCTTAGCAGCTATGACGATGTTGACTATGTTGACGATGTTGAAGTATACGCTTGTATGCTAAGACAACCTGACAGAGTCTCAGCCCAGCCTGCGAACATCTGTTCTAAGGCTTCCTCTCGAACCCCTTTTGTTACACGAATTGCTTTCTATTTTGCTCGCCCCGCTAACTCGCCCCCTAGGTCGAGTTACCTTGTCTCGTCGCTAGTAATCTCATCACCCTTCTGGTTCGGTACGCCCTCCTTCATGCCCGAGCGGTCCCTAACCAGTAGTAAGATTTCCGGTATAGCTTCCGTCAAAGCTTCACTCCTTTGACGTAAGACTGGATCCGTGAGAACCCTGCTACACCCCGGTTTGTGCTGGGGCATTTTGCTGGAGCATTCTCCTGCCTTGCTCGATCATATGAAAAGGCGCTCAAGCCCCCCTCGGCCGTACTTCTCCTCAATATGCATCCATCTCCATCGATGCTCTCTTGGGCTAGGCGTGCGGCCAGTTGCTCCGCACCGGCCACCTCCGGGGCTCATGTTCTCGGCCTGCGCTCGGGCCCCCGGGGTCTTCTTGTCTCCCTCGCCCGCTCACCGACCATCTTCGTTTCGAGAGACGGCAGCCCTCTGAGGAGGGCATGTCGCGGCCAAGGCGCCCATCATCGCACCCCGCCTGATCGGCCTTCGGCGATCGGCAAACGCGCCTTGATTATCGCGTGAAAATGGGACGCGTCACGGGAAGCTCACGGCAAGGGCCTGAGAAAGAAGCCGCCACAACAAGGGCTCGGTGTGGCTCCCGCCCTCGCCCCGCCCCGCCCCGCCCCGCCCCTCGCCCTTGCCCCGCTGGCTCCTCCGTATAGGGATGCGGCCAGCGTGCTCGGCTCGCTGTTGCCGGCCCCTTCCCAAGGCCCGAAGCCCAGTTGGCAGGTCCCTGGGGCGTGGAGGCCGGAAGGGAACAGGCCTGGAGACATGCCTCTCCTCCGTGCTGTCCCGTCCGAGATGCGGCAGATTCGTCGCAAGGAGTCCCCGTCCTCGGGGGGAGGGGGGGAGGGGGCCAACAAGGCTTTAAGACGGTCTCCCGCCAACAGCACACTACCCATCACCGTAACGGCCTCCATCACTCGCCACCGCTCTCCCTCCTTGCTTTCTTCCTTGCTCCCTCTCTCTCTCTCCCCCCCTCCCCCCCCCCCCCGTCCCTCCCTCTCCGCTGCCCTCCTCCACCCCTCGCGCGTGCCCGCACGATCCCATCCCCACGGCCGACTGCCGAGTGCACTCCCTTCCGGTGATACCATCCTCTGGCTTGCCACCGGCTCGGGCACACGTCCCCCTCTCCCTCCCGCCCCCTCCCACCCCCTCCTCTTGGGTCCTGTGATTGCATTCACCGCCGTGTGTCCCCCCCCCCCCCCCCACACACACACACACACACACATGACGCAGCCAATCTTCACCACCCAGACTGCGGACGAGGCCTTTCGGGAATCGTCCGCCCCGCCGTCGCCCTCGCACGTCCCTCCGGAGGACGGGTCCTCCGGGTCGAACAAGCACCTCTTTGTCCTGTCACACGGCTTCTGCGGCATTCCCAGCAACATGACCTACCTATACACGCGCCTGATGAAGTATGGCCGGTCGAATGTGGTCGTCGTATGTGGTCACTGCTCTGCACCCTCGTCTCTTCCCTCTGCCACGCCTCTGCGCACATTCAGCCGCACATGTTTGCACTGGACTTACCGACCACCGGTATTCCCTCCCCCGGCCCCCTCTGCCCGGGCAGCTGAACGCCACCTCCAATACCGGCTTTCTGACTATGGACGGGATTGACATCTGTGGTGAGCGTCTGGTCGAGGAGGTGCGTCTCCCGCCGACATCCTGCCGCATGCCCTCGGCCCGGCTACAATTTGCGCCGTTCCGACATGCCATCAGTCCCCTCTAACTGTGCCTCTCCCCCCCCCTTTGCCTGGTAGATCCTCGATTGCATCCAGACTCACCGCGACACCGGGATCAGCATCAACCGGATCTCCTTTGTCGGCTACTCCATGGGTGGTCTGATCACCCGGTACGCCATCGGGTCCCTCCTGGCCCGGGGCTTCTTCCAGACGGTGGCGCCGATCGTACGTCGCGACAATCATGCACACATGCCCCGGGGGAGGGAGAGAGAGAGAGAGAGAGAGAGAGGGGGGGGGGGGAGGGAGAGAGGGAGGGAGGGAGACACAAACTCAAATACGCATATACCCCACATGGGGTGGGGGATCGAAATGGGGCGAAAGAGGCGACCCCATGTCCCATCAACCCTGCCAAAAAAAAAAACCCGGGCGCTGACCATCACAATCCCTGTCTGCCACTCCGATGGCGTAGAACTTCGTGACCTTCGCAACGCCGCACCTGGGTGTTGGTCGGCTGCCGAGCCTGGCCTCCTCGGGGGTCTGGTTCCGCCGGCTGCGCAATAGCATGTCCGATGTGGTTGGCGGTCGTGCTGGTGCGCAGGCGCCTCCTTTCTTTCCTGCGGGACTTTTCCCGGCTCTCCTCTCCACCGCTGATGCTCCGGTGCTGACCCTTGCTCCATCCCCTGGCCCTGCAACCTGGGTTCGTGCCTGCCCCAGCCAAGCAGATGTTCCTTCTGGATGGCACCACCGAGGATGACCCGCTTCTCTTCCGCATGACGCTTCCGGGTACGCCCTCCCCCCCCCCCACACACACACACACACTACCTGTGTCCCTTTCTCTCCCTGTCCTCCCTCCAAGAAGCTGACCATCTCTCCTCCAACCTCCGACCCTCCCTTGCTCTCGCTTTCCCTCCCTTTTTTCCTCCCCTCTCCCCTACTCCAGGGAGCTCCTTCATGGAGGCACTGCGGCTTTTCCAGCGTCGCGCACTCTATGCCAATGGCCGCGGTGACCGCCTGGTGTCCTACTCCTCGGCGGCCATTCACATCCCCAATTGCAACCACGAGACACCAAACCCCTACCGCCAGGATCAGAGCTACTTCGGCCAGGGGTATGTTCACACACACACACACACACACACACACACACTTGCCTGACCCCCGGGGGGCTGACAGGCCCTGTCCGGGCTCTCCCTGCTAACCGGTGCTGCTGCTGTTTGTTTGCTTTTTCCCCTCCCGTCCCTTGTCCCCCGGCTTGTTGGCAGCTCGCTCGAGTCCTTCCCCCACGTTGTGCGTGTGTACGACTCCAACTCGCCGCTGAATGTGGCCCCTTGCCGAGGGTCGGCTGCCGGGGCTGCGATAGCCGACGCCGACGCCGACGCCGACGCTCGGCATCCTGCTCCCTCTTCTCGGCGGCCCCCTCCGGCCGCGGGCAACCCGACCGATGAGGACCACCCGGCCTCCGAAATCACCTTCCTGGACTACTCGCCCCCGCGGTCCAGCAGTGTGGCGGCCATCGCCGTACCGGTGTCCATCTTCCTGCTGATGAGCCCGGTCTTCCTGCCGACCTTCCTGGGGATGTTGGTTTTCTTCTCGGCCATGTCGCACGCGCGCTTGACCTTCCAGCTGGAGGCGCCGCCGAGCGACTGGCCGCCGACCGTCCTGCCAGCCTCATCGGCCGAGGCCCTGGCCGACTGCGAGTCCCGGGAGTCGGTCGCGTCGACCCCCTCGACGCCCCTGTCACCGAGCACCGGGCCCGAGGAAAGCCAGCCCCACCGCAAGTCGTCGACCCAGGGGCACATGCCGGCCGAAAGGCCCGCGTGCATTGTCACGCACATCCGAGTCCCGCTGGCCCTTTCGGACGGGCGGCTGAATGGGCTGCTGTGTGAGAGCTGCATCCGGGAGCATGGAGCCGCCTTTGCGCGGGTGGTCGAGTACCAACACCAGCGCCAGCGCCAGTTGTCTGGTGGCGCGGATGAGGGGCCCCAGCCACAGCGCCTGGCCGGGGGGATGGTCAACATCCGGCCCTTCATGGCCCTGTCGCTGAATGACTGTCTCTGGACCAAGCACGATGTGCTGATCCCGGCGCCGCTGAATACCCACGGCCCGATCATCAACCGGGCCTACTTGGAAGGGGATGACCTGTTCTTTGATGACATGGAATCCGAGCACTTTGTCATGGCGGCCGGGCCGGGTGCCAGCGACGCCGAGCTCGATATGCCGCTGCTGGTGGCCGACTCGGCGGCCACAGCAGAGTCCGAGCATCTTGACACAGTGGACCCGGCCGGTCCGGCGGCCAAAGGCACCCACCACCCCCCAGGTCGCCAGGTTCAGTCGGAGGCGGATTTGCGCCGGCCACGTCGCGGCTCGGCCTCGCGTGAGGCGGACCTGGGCGGGACGCAATCAGGCGCCCTGGCATCGTCGGAGGAGGGGGACTCGCGCTCATCGTCGTCCTCCTCCTCCTGGTGGCGCGTGCGCCGGTCGGACACTGGGTCCACCGATGCCCGGCGGTCGCAATCGCAGCAACTCGAGCGCCGTCCGGCCGACGATTCCTCCAGCACGCCATATCCCTCTTGGCTGTATCGCGTGCGCCGGCGCGTCGCGGCCTACTCGGCGCGAGACATTGTCTCGCATGGCGTCCAGCAAATGTCCTTCTGATGTGCGCGATCGAGCGTGTGTATATATATATGAATCTATGTGTGCGGTGTCCTGTGTCTGTGCGAGCATATCGGCGTGCGAGCATGCTTACAGGTGAGGGTTTCTCGAGGGGTGTGCGGATACGTGTGTGTGTGTGTGTGTGCGTGCGCACGTCTATTTGCGTAATTTCACATCGGCCGCTTTTCAATCGGCGCGTTGCCCTGGATGGGATATTGGCCGGAGACCGAGCGGCTGTGGTGGATGCCCCCAGGATGCTGACTGCAGCACGGCGGAGAGGGTGCCGCGAGGCATGGCGAAGAGGATAGAGGAGGGAGTAGGATTACAGGATCCGGGAGGTCATGTGGGAGGCGTACACGCATTCCGGAACTAGCAGTCAGGAGGGGGTGTATATGACTGTGTGTATGTGAGAGAGAGAGAAAGAAAGAGAGAGAGAGAGAGAAAGAAAGAAAGAGAGAGAGAGAGAGAGAGAGATGGAGAGAGGCCGAACGTGACAGCACGATCATCTTGCGTCCGGCGATGGTTTCGTTGCCTGGAGCCCGCGAAGGCGTTCGAATAGCAGCCCGCGCCCGTCTCCCCCGGTCAGTGCTCCTTCCCTCCGAACAGTAGACCCGAAGGAGGGGATGGTCAAACTGAGAAGCGTGGCAAGGGCACCAGGCCGGCGAGGCGGCCTGCCTGGGGCCTACCCGGCAGCAGGCAGAGCCCGGGCACACATGGCACCGGTCCCGCGGGGCGGGGAGGAGAGATGGGGAACGGCACACCCAGGTGCCTGGGCCCTGGCCGTGGAAGATCTGGACCGCCGAAGGCGAGAGAGGCCCAGGAGTTAGCATGTGGCTTCCGAATATCCCTCCAGGTGAACTCCTCGGACGTTCGCTTCGGAGACATACACAGAGCAAGGAATCTAGATCATTGCATGGCCAGTTTTCCAGCGAATCCGACCCTCGTCAGGGGCGGAGGGAAAGTTGCTCTCCCTCGTTCCCTCTCACCTTCCCCCCTTCGGGAAGGGTGGCCATTGGTCGAGCGGCTGTTGGCTGGCTGTTCCGCCGGACCTTGGGGTACTCCGGGTCTGGGCACATCACTGGTGGATTCGCGCTCTTGCCTGGGGAAGAGTGCGGGGGGG